TGTTCTTCTTATGTGATAGATGCACAGGATGGAGGAGGTTTTAAAATAGAACTGATAAAAGAAATTTGTCAAATACACTGTAATAATATTTTTGTTTATAAAATACACGTGAATGATCGTGTATATTTCTTGTGTACACACAGGTTATTTATAAACAAGTGTTTTTATTATATTTCCTTACTGAAAAAACAGAGGCCCAAAAATTAAATTTTGCATGGAGCAGATGATAAGCTCATTAAGACACTGATTATATTGTATATAAGAATGTGCTTAGTTAATCCATTGTAACTTGTAAATAGATTAAATAATGTATTATTTAAACTACTTACAAGTTACAAGACAGAATGACCTTGTTATCAAAGTAGTTTGAATTAATTTAGAAAGGAATAGAAATACTTTAAACTAGCCAGTTAATCAAACAATTATATATTGCTATTTATTCATCAGTATCAATACTTTGTCTTATACAGGAATTAATTGTAAATAATAGGCTTATTTTTACTTCTATGTATTAAAAGCATTTTTTTTTCCATTAACTATATGGAGAATAATAATATAATGATATTAACATCATATTATTTTCTACATAGCTGACGTTATTGTGCTTGAATAATAATGGTTTTCTTTTATATGAATTCACTTTACATAATGATTTCATTAACAATGATGTATGTAAAGGAGACAGATAATCTATGATGAATAAACATAAAAATTTTATATTTATATTAGTTATTCATTAATATTTCATAAACTAAATGATATGTTTAATCAATCATAGAATTACATTTAATTATTTACTATAACGGAGAGTCATGCTTATTGCTACAAAAAGCTTGCAAGTAGATTCAGACATTCAAAAAAGGCCAAACAAACGTATTAATAGATAATGAGTTGTGTAGACTTTAGAATAGTTTATTAAACGACTCTTATTAAGTTTTTAAAATTTGATAATTATTGTTCCAGAACAACTAACATAAATTTTATTAATTAAACACAAGCTAAAAAGTGTAATTTTTATTAATTATTCATAATAGATACAAAAATATATTCTGAAAATCAATGACTATTAAAACAGCCTTAGAAAACTTAGAGTCAATTAGCTAAAGAAGAAAAATGACTTTTTTTAAATATAAATTTTTAAAATACTAATTAAACAAAATTCAATTATTTCAATTTATTTTTGGATTTTATACTAAATCAAAATAGTTTAGACATAGTGGTACCTCAGGATACGAAATTAATTCGTTCCGAAACTGAGATTGTATCATGAAAACGCCGTAAGGTGAATCATTTTTCCCCATACGATTACATATAAAACCAAATAATTCGTTCCAACACGAAAAATACACTCAGATTAAAGCTAAGTAGTACATTTAAAAAAAAAATAACTTTAGTAAGGAAAACACTGAAAAATGCATTTTGAAGTTGTAAATGTATAAATAACTATAATAGAATAATAATTAATTTAAAAAAATGTAGTTTTATTTGCACTTTACCTTTGAGGATAGATGACGGTGGAGGTGTAAACTGGTGGCGGGATAGAGGGAGAAGGGAAATGATAATAAAACTTAACTTACATAACATAAT